ACTGTTAGGAAATGCTACTTCTACATATTAGCCCTCCCACACATGGATTCTTTTAAGTGGTGGATGAATGACTTCCACACTGGCTGACATACTGTTACTACTACATGAATTTTTTTTTTTTTAAGTTTGTACAGTGATTTATGCTTCTGAAGGGAAAAGGATACTTCACATCAAAGTTTTAGAATACCAGAGGTTAAATTTTCTTTGGCAGTTTCCTTCTTTTTATCTCTTAATTGATACAGCACCAAGGAGAAAGCAGACTTAATAAAAGATTCCTACCTACAGTTTATGCTAAATCTTTTCAAAGGAAATTTGACTTTATATGCTGAATTTCACTTGCATGATGAAACAGCAACAGCAGCATATGCTCAGTGCCTTGAAATCTGACTCAGTAAAATGAAGGCATCGAGCCAGGAAATGGGTTATGCTACAAAGCAGCAATATTCCACATTACCAGTTTATTTACTTTTTTCCTGGGAATTTTGGAAATACATTTGCAGCATTAAGTTTAGAAATGGGCAGATGGAAATCCTTTCATTGCACTCATCTCCAAAGCATCCGCAAGGAGAACCAAGCACCAAACATTATTCAGAAAGACAAATTTGGAATATCACATGGAAGAGGGAGCTCACCAGTGGACACAGATACAAAAGAGGGAGCACTGCAACCTGTGTGTGCTGAGGGCAGGGACCCTTCATGAACACGGCTACAACAGCAGCTGAAGGGAACTGCACACAATGTCATTTAAAAGCCAGGAGCACTCCACGAATAAATTAAATGAGAAGTTCTGAATTTTTATCCAGGCAGACGTGTGCCCTCAAAAACACTGTCCAATTTGCTTGAATTTTCTGTTTCTCCACTGCTAAAACGGAAACAATTTTTGACTCCTTTCCAAGCAGTACACATAATAAAACAACTCTGCAGCAGCCTGCACATATTCAGCCCTCAGTGTGATCTTCCAGCATTATTGTTAACCTTCATTTTGGTTTTCCATCAGTGGTTGGTAACAGCAGGTTTAATTATTGCAGAGTCCTATGTTGGGAGATAGTGGATTGAATTACTTGAATCAATTTTAATTTAATCTGCCATTCATTAGGTTATTTTTCAATTACGAAAGTCTAAAATGTGGTTTCGCTGGGCTACCGGTTACATTTCACCAATAATTCACCAAAGTTCATTTCATCATCCAAATGCTGCCATGGGTTTGCATAGATCTGGGTTTAGCCCACGTGCATTTGGTTCAAAGGGCAGCTGTCATTTTTCTAACATTTTATCCAGTCACTGATAAAATCTGCAATACTTTCTAAAATGTTTATCTTGTTGCTTGATCAAAATAAGTTTACATTTCAAATAATCATCCCCCAAGGTCTTCCTTGCTTCCCATCTGTCTTCTCTAAACTCTCCTTCTCCTCTCTTTGTTGTGGATCACAGTCATGTACTATAAGCAATTCTCCCATTTAATTGTGCTCTGATTAAAAGAGGATTAACACATCCCAGCCTCAGTATTTCTGGATTTTCATGGGTGCTTCTTTATATTGATCCACCATCCAATTATCTTCTATAAATTTACACAGAACTACTAAAGGATATAAGTTACTGCATGAAAACAGCCTTTTTTAAAAGTAATGATTTACATTATTCTTACATCTTTTATGTCATAATTACCTACTTTTCTTGAATTTTTATTTATGTTTTCATTCATGTGGTTATCTTGATTTACACAGGGAACACCACTGGACGGTCTCTAAAATATGCCACATGAATTAAGAGATTATATATTAGTTACATAAAATATTGTATCATTTATTACCAAAAAAAAGATTTATTTTCAAATTTTGAAGATAGACATGTGATTGCTCTTAATCTCCTGTTAATCTCCTTAACTACCACAAACTTTTTTCCACTTGGAATGCATTACCATTAGAATTGGAAAATTTAGTAGCCAAAAAAAGAGAAAGTCACAGAAATACCACTGATCTCTGTTCTAATTATCTGATCTCTATTCTTCATTCTTCAGCTGTGGGGTACTGCATCCTTTCTGTGAATAACAAAAAAAGATCAGTTGGGGATTTTTTTTTTTTTGGGCTTTGGGAACAATAGCCTATATAGACTCTGAGAGACTACCCTGACTACCCTGCATTTTATTTCTGCATATTTTATCTTTCACAACAAAAACATCCTACTAACTATTCAGTTTCTGAAAGATTTCTTTCCAATAAGAAAGTAAACAAGTTTATTTTGAGGGTACAAATCTATTTCAGAAAAAAGGCGGTTTCTTTAAAAAAAGCTATATAACTTTAGACTGTCTGAATTAATTCTTTAACTTCCATAGACATTCTACTATGCATAATCACAGAGAGTTCACCATGCTTTTATTTCCCCTAGCTGGCTCTCTTATCTTAACCAATGACATCATATGCTTCCTAAATGGTAGTTTTGAATAAACTTTTTAATTGCATTGCTGGATCCAGTCTATACATCTCCTTAAAAAAATCCATCGTACTTGGTAGACAATTCCACTGACTATAATTCTAGTGTCATTTTGAGAATAATTCTCATCCCAGATGAAAAAAAAGCCCCAAAACCAGAGTTTTTTTAAGACAAAGAAGAATATTTTGATGGACTCCATCCTACAGTCTGTGCACTTCAATCTGGATTGCTGCAAATTGTCCTATCTCAGGCTGAAATGGTATTCCATGAAACAGCCCAGTTGCTATCATGACAAAATGCCCATCTACTTTGTAGTAGAGGCAAAAACCATCATGAACAACTCAGACCAGTGGAATATTGCTGAATAAACAATCCAGTGCAAGGCCTGTGGCTTAATACTCACAGCTCTTGAGGAGACTAAAGATTTGGGAGGCTGCCCTTCCCCATGGGTAACACATGTGCCCAGCCTCTTGGGAAAAACTGGACAACATTCAAAGTAACCAGACTCTACCAGGCAATTAAAAAAGAAAAATAAAACAAAAAACCAAAAAGAGCCAAGGAGATTAAATCGGCATTTTAACACTTTCAAAAGTGAATGCATCGCTTCAAGCCAATCACACCACACAATAATTATTTCTTCCACAGATGGGACCACTATTATATGCAGAGACATGAAAGAATGTCTTCAGATTCCAGAAACCTCTGATTTTTAAAGTGGGAAATGTGCCAGAACTAGCAGGCTTATTCAAAATAAAGACATTTTCTCTTGATGAGTAACGCAACTAGAATCAGTAATGACTCTTGTGTTGCTAACTGATTTGCTATTTACTTCATAGCTAAGTATTAATACAGTATAAAAACATTTCACTTATTTCAGAAAATTAAGAACTGACTTTGAAAATGTGTTCTCAATAGCTCAGAGTGAGGCAAACCTTATTTTTCCGCCTTCCATTGTTCGCATTTTGCTTTCTAGATCATCTGGTGAAAAAAACCTCAAGTGTTATCCATTAGAGGGATGGACATTGGCCTGGCTTTGCTACATCAGCAAATTGCCCCCTGCAGAACATGAGGGACCCCTTCACTCCTCCCAGTCCTTTTCCCAGCATCTATAAGCCCAAAATGCGCAGGGTAAGCACACACGTCATTTGTCTTTAGGCCAATTGGAACCAAGACTAGAGACCTCTTCAAATTATGTAGTCATTATTTGTCTTTATATCCCAACATTTTAATTTAATAAACCAATCAGAAATGCAATTTCCATTGATGGGGGTTATGAATGAAGAACCATTAAAGCACTTAAAAAAGCAACCATTATTAATGATTTAGTCCTCTGAGATTTCAATTCTTGACTGGAAAGAGTTTCCAGAAATCTTTATTATAATAATGTACATCATCAAACAGCCTTTCCATGCAAACTCCAATCATGAAAACAGAAAAATTTTGATTCAGCCCACATTTTTTCCATAAAATCACCGTTTTTTAATAGAATGCAGTTCCCATTAAATAGTAGTGTGTTGTGAGAGGAGTGTAGAATACAGCTAACATATGCAGTAAGATTGTAGCAAAAAAAAGGAAGGTGTTTTATATTTTTTTTTTTAAATTTTGTTATTCCTAAAAGAAAATCTGGTTTGTCAGAAAGCTAAAAGAAATTTTGATTTTTAGTTTTGCAAAATTAGTTTGATTACTTACTCCCATGGGTGACTATGACAGAATAATAAGACACAATCACCACTGAAAGTAGAGAGCACTAGTTGGAATACATGCTAATTAAAATCCATTTTTAAAAAATTAAATTCAATATGGAGAGTATTAGTTATTTGTTATGAAGAAGTCAGAATAATTTTAGAAGGGGAACTGCTACAGGACTTTCAACAGCTTTATTTTCTTTCATGGAAGGCCACAAATATGTGAGAACACAGTGACTTTTGGAAAAACTGGATTTTCATTCCCCAGAACACAATGAGACCTAGTTAACAGCACGACACGCCTCTCTGCAGAATTATTCTTTTTTTAATTAGGCTTCACAGTGCTGTTATGTAGGACCCATCTCAAAGAGTGAAAAGAGTAATGTGGTCTCCATCACCCAACCAACCCCTCATTTCTTACCCAAGTCTACCAAATAAAGAGGTGGTTACTTTGGTTACTCCACATCAAATGAGCTGAGATCTCCAGCTCACTTCTTAAAGACCAGGGAAGAGTTGCTTTAGTTTAAAATAAGAAGGAAAGTAATAAATATAAAGTTTAGCCCAAGAACCCAAAGACAGAAGAAATTCTCCTTTCAGGAGTTCCTGTTATGACTAATTCCAAAGACATCTCCTGTCTTATCTGCTTTCTGGAGCACATGCCAATGCTATGGATTTCACATGTGACCCATCAGCATCTCAAGACAGCATTTTCCCTTTGATGTCTAAATTATTAATAAATCCAATGTTTGTCAGCTTTGTCTCATGGTAATTGCTAGTCCATATCTATTTATCTGTTTGTCATAAGAAGGTAATTTCAATCAGAATTCTTAATCCAGGACTGAAATAATTTTTAAAACAATGAATAAAATGAAAGCTTAAAACCAGTTTGCGTAACTAGAGCTAGAATTTATTACTCCTGAGAGAACAAGGATACAAAATACATGTGAAAACTACACAAAGATTTCTACAAAGTAAAAAGTAGAAAGTGGGAAAAGGGAAAGCTACAGCTCAGTGGTTACACAGAAACTTATGGCATGCATTAAAATATTGTAAATTCATGAAGTTTTTTTTAAGTGCAAATGGTTTTTTTAACAGTTCTCACTGAAAAATATGTAAATTGATACCTATGTTGTACACTTGACATATTATCAGAAAGACACCAACACAAATCTATGCATATATACATCAATATGTCTGAAGTACATTTTGTGGTTCTGTTATTCATAGGCACTGGTTACAAGTCCGTCTAATACTCAGTTTCAGAAATTAAGTGGTAGCGCTAATAGAACATTTCTCAGATACTACTAATAAAGGAATTGGCTTTTAAAATGCCAAGAGGATGAAGTAATTTGCATTGCCATTTATAAGCATCCAACAACCAAAGAAGTATTTACAAATCATCAACCATACAGATAAAGAACAGTATCAAATACTCTGTGTAAAAAGATAAATAATTAAAATGTATATTCCCACATCACAAAGAAATGTGATCATACAAATATGGCACCATATGTTTGTGAAACATCAAAAATAAATGTAGCACATAGATACCTCTTCTTGTATTTTACATTAAAATGCACAGTACAATGACTGTAAATGTCAATGTCACGACACCCATTGTCTTCAAATTCCTGTTTCTGGTAGTAGCAATTATTACTAGAGTCCGTGTTTATAAAGAAATTCCATACTTCAGCCTTGGGCTAATATTGCTCTGTGATATTGCTAGACCACGAAACTTAACATCCTAAAAAAGTTAGATATTTTCTTTAAAATTATCTATTAGAAAGCTACTTGATACGTGAATATTCTGGGAGAAAGTGTGATATAGATGCAATCTATTTCTCTGTGTAGCAAAGTATGGGTTAAAAAAAATAACATTTTTATTTTCGTCAGAAATATCAAATTTATTAGTGAAATATATCCTAAGTTGAGGCTTATCCCTTTAAAATTTTAATCATAAACAATACTGCAATTTTCAACACATAATTAGGGGTTTTGTTAAAGTACTTAAACTTCCAAACCCTAATCATGTATCTCATTATGAGAAATGGATCAGAAAATCTGGAACACAACAGTGCTATGGAGCTCAAAATGCTGATACCCTGTTTTGTACTCTGAGGGTGAATGAGATAATTATAGCACGTGGATGTATTTGAAAGGTTTGTCTGCATGTGGCCATTTATGGTTACATGCCAAATCCAAACAAAAGTACATTGTTAAAGGCAACCAGAAGTATTACAGTTATAACAGACTAAGGCAATTAAAATCTTTTTTCCTTCTTTTTTTGGTTTAAAAAAAAAATAAATTAAGGTGCAGAGAGAATTTTCTTTGCTGTTTTAATGGGTGCCAAATACTGATTAACAGTGCCAAGGAAAAGTAGTTTTACCCAAAAGGAAAGACTATTAAAATCTAGAAATACCTGAATTGGATCTTTGAAATCCAGATTTTTCCTGATTACCTGCAAAAGGAGTTGGGGGTGGATAGTTGGCTTCCGTGAGTTTACTGATGTCTGACAGTGGCGTTGGTGGTGGCGGTGGTAGCAAAGTGCTGTTAGGGCTACTAATATCTCCTTCAGCCACGAGAGTCAAGTCTGCCACATTCTCATCATCTACCATCTGAATGCCTTCAGCCTGCAACTCTCTCGACTGCCTTTTCCACACCGCGGCGTTGCTCTCCTGTGCGTGCGGAATTGGAGACAATGGAGGACTAAAAGGAACACTGAAAGTCTTCTCTCTGTGCAGTGCTGCCAAAGCAGACTTATGTTTGTTTTCTGAGTAACCCACTTTCTTTACTGAATTTTCATTAAAGTTTTGCACAGGCTCCTGTTTTCCACTGGGTGATGTACATCCATCACTGCTGTCACTTTTTGAAACTCGCTTGCCGAGGCCTTTAGGACCTGCGGGTGTAGATGAGGATGGTTCTGGTCCAGTGGGTGGTAAACGAAGAAAGTCAGGAAGAATAAGGTCTTCTTTCCTTAGCAGTCCACGTTGGTCATCTGCTCTGTTACTTTGTGCTTTGGATATGAGTTCAAAAAATTCTATTGGGGAAAAACCCAAAATTGACAAGTTTTTGTCAGAAAGTGCAATGCTATTAAAACGTACATTTTCAGCACATTTATTTTCCATGAAGATCTTCAATTCTTTCAATGCTGCCTTGAAATAAGATCCCATGTTAATTAGGAACTTTTTCAATTGCAGCAATGTTCACTAGCATCACTATAATTAAGACCATCAGCATTGCTATTGTAAGAGTTTTGCAGTTTAGAACAGCTGCAATTCACTGAGCCTTGAACACGTCTTCTATTTTACGCAGTTAATAAATCTGTACACACATGCAGGAATTTTTAATTCTTTATACAAAACAAGGCTCTAGTCTTACAGACAATGGGTGCACGTTTTTATATTCTGGATGGGTTTTACCCATCTTAACTCAAAAATAGCATGCCATTTGAACATTCAAAGATTCAGAATGTTGCAAACTTCCTTGTTATATTGACTTTCTCTCAGAGTAATTATATTTTATCACAGTTTCAATTCAATTCATGGTGTAGTTTTAAACCAGGATGTTATCATCACAGGGTATGATCAGATGATGATTTAAGTAACCCCATATTACATGGAGCTGCAATGAATCAGTAGCTTACAGATAGTCAGTAACCATCCAAGGAGCCATTACCAAAAGCAATGGGGCAGCTTTTTAAAGAGGCTTTAACACAATTAGAAGTGATTTTCTGATCATGTCCCTAATGATATCCAATGGTTTAATATGTTTCTATAAATAATACTCATAGTAGGTCAACACTGTTCTAAAAAGTTTCAAAACTTGGCAACAAGAAACTTATCAATTGTAAGCCAAGAATTATACCACTCCTCAAAAAAGAAGCATTGCAACAATAAACAAACTCTTTGGTACAAAACATAGACATATAAAAATATGTAATTCTTAATATAGGGTCTCTGCATGTCCTAATTTTTCAAGAAGAAAGCACTTTAAATACAGAATATTAAAAGATGCTTAAAAAGGCCATCTCCAACAGATAAGTAAAATCAACAGTTCCAACCCAGCTTATAAATACTGTTTGAAGCAAAAGCCATTAAGGAATAAAGCAACAGAACATTAGTATCAGTTTTAACTTAGCATAATATGAAGTCATACACTTGCACTTGTATGACCTTATTCATAAATCCTCTACTCATACTTGGCAGGCTTTGCAATGTATTCATAAAAATGAATTTTTAACATGCTTTTTCAAATACTGTAAAATCTGAACGTAGCCAAGATGGAAGCTTCAAAATGCTTCTTATTGCCAAAGTTTTGCAAAATGGCAGTAGGCATATTAAAACATGCAACATTTCTAAGATGTGTCATACAAAAATGTTTCTGAAATTTCAAAGTTCATAGAACAGTTGTTTGTTTTTGCATTAAAAAACAGTCTACAACATTTGGTATGCATTTTCCAAACTTTGACAAATATCACAAAACTCAAAATAAAATGTGAAAGCCTCGAATTCTGAAGTTTTCAAATTATGTTAATGTTTTACTCAGTCCTAGGAAAAAAAATGAAAGTATTAAAATGTGGAAAACAAGTCAACAAAAGAGTAAGCAACAGAAAATAATTTAAAATGCCCTAATATTTTGTAATAACACTTATATGAAAAAACATATATTTTGCATTAGAAGTTTTTGCCATAGCATTCTTTTTTCAGTTCTAGTCAGTGGACATTTATTCACAGATGAACATTCAAAGGTAAACATTCATTTGCTGTTTAAGTGTGCATAACCAGGTTTTGGATATGCATACGGGGTAACTTCAGCAGCAGATTTTAATCTGTGGGTCAAATATGTCCTTTGAGTTTTTTTTTTCTACATGGGAAAATAGGGAGGAGCGTGTAGGGCTGACAGATAGGTAATCAATTCAGTTCATGTCCTAGGGCACGGGGTATTATGCCAAAATTTCTAGTGCTACATTATTTTCATTTCTCTTTTGCCCATGGACATCTTGCTATAAGAAAGCAAATTCTCTCATGAGATTTTTTCTGATGATATCACCAGAACTATTAAGATGTAACAAAGGTAAAAATAGGACTCAGAAAATGCAAGATTACCAACAACCTCTTGGCTTATTTCTACTTCTAAACACCTTTTGGTGAATGCAAGTTTTTCTGTTGCCCATCACATCTCCTCCACAGTCAGACCGCCCTGCATTGGCTGTTACAGAGTTCAGCAGAAAACTTACAAAAATTCTTACCTGAGTACATTTGGGTCTACACTACTGTGCAGTGCCTGTCAAACACTTATATAGAGGTGAAGAGAAAGCCAAGCTTCTACGCAGCTTACAGAGTATCAAATGGGATGTTCAACTGCAGTGGAGTAACTAATTCCTTTTTATTTTGCAGGAATTAGGTACCCCTGACTTTTGAAAATCCCACTGGACACCTACACCGATGTTTAGGTATTCTTAAAATTTTACCTTCCGCTTATGAAAACTTGACAATTCAAACACACCAAACAAAAATATAATGGTCAAGACTATGATTTTCACAACACAGCATTAAACACATGGTACCTACACAGACACAAAATTTTTCTAAGACTACTTATGTTAATATGTAAGCTATAAAGTTCACATACCCTCTGCTTCATCCAAATTTATTTTCTGACTTTTTTTTTTCCCAATCTTTGCAATAGAGTCTTCTCTCTTTGACAGCCGGACTTCCCTAGCATTTTTTCCATTTTCGCCTTTCATTTTGATAGAATTAGACTTTCCTAGAGTTCTTCCCTCTCCCTGCATTAGAAGGAAAGTTAAGGTACTACTTACAATCAGGCTCTATCATTGTATACATAATATGGCCTAAAGGAATGAGGAAAGGTATTTTGGAAACACATTTCTCTAACACCACGACAAATGCTTTAGTTTGGTCTTGATCATGGCAAAGAACATTTGCCATAGCAGTTGCCAAAAATGTAGCTATAAATATAATATTGTTTACTCTGAAGAATTCACATGACAGAAATGGCCTTTGAACTACAGAGTAGTTCAATTATTTTAAAACATAGATAAGCCAATGTGACACGAAACAACAAACACAACACAGTGAAAGAGTTAACTGATTCATCATGAAGACAAAGTTCTTCACAAATAAATGCTGTTGACAGTGGAAAACTATCAGACAGAGAACAGCTATATTCAATCTAGTTACATAATTTGGCCGATTCAAAATCGTGCGTGAATGCAGCCTTTGATACAGAATTCTAGAAGGAAACAGAAGATGATCTAATGGAGAAAAATCGTTGCAGAAGACTTACAGTAGATCCTTGACTTCTTGAAGATACAGTTGCAGTCTGTTTTACTAATACGCCTCTTTGTTTCTCTGTAAACATTGAACATAAATATACTTTCTGTAACTACTGATTTATAATTCCCTAAAGAAGCAAAATTTAAGGGACAATGATGGACACAACAGATTTTTGCTTTAAAATCACTCTAATGTGTACTCAGAAAATAAAGAGTGAGAGCAGTTGATAACCCTGATACTTTTCAGTAGAAACCTATCAGAATCTGCCTCCCATCTTCAGATTTTCCTCACACTGGCATTTTTTTTCAAGTTAAAAGATGCCGAAGTCTCACTTATGTACTAAATTTTCAGTTGCTTTAGATCAAATAATTGTAAAATCTGATAATTCAGTTTGTAATTCTCAAAATTATAATTTAAAAAAGAAAGAAAATCAGCAGAAAAGACCATTGAAAGGCCATGTTGAATCTTTTCCATCCTGTTTCACACATCAATTATTTTGTAGACACTGCTGTATCCTCCATGCCATCTTCTAAGTAACAAAAAGCCTCCATCAAATTAAATCTGCCTACAGCAAATTCAGTAACACAGAATCATTGCCCTCTTTCACTGGTACATTGCCAAAGAACCACTGCCAGAATGATCCTCTATGATACAGATGCTGGCAACACACTGGATTTAGGCTTTACTTGTAATCTTTAAACTAATTATTCGTGAAAGTATTTAGATTAAAACTGTTTTTCAAAACAAAAATCGGTTCTGTTGGTTAGAAAAATGACAAATCTGATTCTCCTCAATAAATGTCTCCATCTTTATAATGCCAATTTTTCCTCAAAGAGGATCTCAGCTCTAAGTCTATTTAATTTAACCATATCTAATTCGGTTTTTGAAAATAAGTGTTTGATATCTCTAAAAAGGTCTCCTAATGAAACCAAATCTTTACTCATAAGGCTGCTTACATTAATCTAGAGCATTAATTGTGCCAAGAGATTGTAAACTGTTTAGCTGACAATTTTTTTTTTCCAATTATGTTGCATAGGGTCATGAGTTTTTATCCTTTTTGGTGTTATTTTCAGAAATCATCACTTAAAATTGGAGAAGTAGGTTCTGGAACTTTCTCATTCTTAAGAAGGATATTATGATAGAAGCATATACAGCTGCTGTACAAACTGCATCTGCTTTCCTTACACAGAATGTTCCTTACTGAGTAATTGCCAAATGCACAGCAGGTATTTGGCACTTTATTCTCATTATTATTACTGGGCACTATGTTCCTAAGTTTGTGTGTGGATCTGTGGTTGAGTGCAAACAAAAAATTCATATATTATTACAGCAAAATTTCTTACAGCAACAGTAAAAGTACCTGCTATCACAGACTAAATTAATCTTCAATCTTCAGAAACTGCACTGCTTTTTAGTTAAAAAGAATATATGCCACACGTGATATACCTAAATTTAATCACATTTACCTCACCTTCACAACAACAGGAAAAACTAGCCATAGTCAGGGTTTATAAAACTGGCTTGGAACCATAAACAAAAGCTTCTATACAAACTTACCTCTACCCTTTGATGGCTCTTTTTCATCTAGAACAACCCGCTGACCATCCAGATTAGATATAGGGACACCAAGATCAAGGGGTTCCTGCTCACCACTCTAAAGTCGGATCACAGTTTGTATGCAATAGAGAAAAAGCTGTTTTCAGAACAAATTTATGCAGTCTGACATTTTTGAAAGAAAACAAGCAAAGCATTTTTGTGCTTCAGAGTATCTTCAATCTATCCTTCTACCATTCTAAAAATGTTTACTCCAGTGGTGTAAAACTACCTAGATTTCAATGAGTATAGTCCTATTCTGTGAGAAGAATGGTATTTGGGAAAAAAAGATACATAGAGGAAAAAAAATCATCCAATTTGTAAGTGTGCTCAAATACTCTAGCACCATTAGTGTGTATATTCAGCAAGTCATGTTTTTGAGAGGACACTTTAGATTTTTTTTTATTCTAAATTGATTGTATTTCATTAATTTTTTTAATTTCATTAAATGAATTACCTTTATACCAATATGCTTTTCAGTTATCTTAAAAACTTGGACTGGTTCAGCTAAGACAACGTACATACTAGAAATACCACAAAATTAACTTTACATTCCTAGGTATTCCAGCACAATAGAAAGGAGAACATGCCTAGCCAAGAGTTCAGTAGCAGAGAAGTTGAATCAGTCTGCTTTCACAAAAAAAAAAATCTGCAAGGGGATTTGTGGCAACTTTAATGATTCCCAGGACAATGGAACAAAAGCTTTAATCCAACCAACTTTCCCTGGCTAGTAATTGGAGTTGAGCTCTGGAAGAAGCAAAGTTCAGGCTTGCTTATTTTGGATGTTGGATTTATTCTGAAGAGAATAAAAACAGATGTAGACTAAATATTTGAGGTAACTACTACTAAGCATAATGGTTATAATTACAATGCATTTTATCTAAAAATGTAGCTGTAGATATTTAAATGCCTAATTGTCTGGAGAGAAATCATTCCAGGGACTATCATATGATCTTCTCCAGACAGAAAATATTGCTGCTGCTTGAATTACATCAAAGAATACTTACTAGTCTTGCCACAAGTTCATTAAGATTTAAACCATATTTTGCAACAACAGGCCTTAAGACCTCTGTTACTGGTTTGGTGGGCTTCGCCTTCAGACCAACTGACCGGTTGATAGGAACAAGATCCAGCCTGAAACACAGCAATTGTAACATCAAGTGTGAAATATTCCAGTAAATAAAGTGAACAGTGTCAAATCCAATTATCTACAACATAGTTGTACCAATTTACAGCTAGTAACTAGCTGGAACTGCAGTATGAATGTATGCTAAACTGAAACGACAAAGAATTTATTATTTTATATTTCTTTATTATTATATTTATTATTACTTATATTTAACACAAATAAAAATTGTACTGTTTCGCTTCCCAGAGCTGAGTGAAGGCCTGAGCCAGTCTATTTCAGACCAAGGAAATGCATTCCACAGCACTTCCATATTTACAGGGAGATTTCTCTGACCAGTTTGGTCCAGGAGTCCTTCCAAAGTGACTCCATGCCTGAACTATAGACTTGGATGCAAGAAAAATATTTCTTCTCAGTTCCACAAGACAGACTCACAACTTGTTATACAATTACATGAGATGGATTTGGACAAGTGTTTTCATTTCTAAGCAGACTAAGAAACACTGTGGAAATGCACATGATCTACTTCTTTAGGGTTGGTGCCATCATATGATGAAATATCAGTGTAAGAGAAACTTGTATACCAAAGCTGAAAAATTAACTTAGAACTTACAGGCTAAAGCTCTTTTCACAGTCTATTTTATATTTTGCATTATTAAAACAGTAAAAGAATAATGAAATACTTTTTTTTTTTTTTTAATTAAACCAAAACAACTTTCATTAGCATCTATTTCCCTGCACAGAGCTGTACCTAGCTTTGGTTTGGTTTTGGCTTTTTTTTTTAATGGTCTTCATCTATCCCCTGAATTCTCCATAAGCCTCATTTGGTTGCAATGATGCTCTAGTATGAAATCAAGGACAAGCTTATTGCTAACAAAACAATCAGAAGAAATGTACATCATCCTCAGATATTACTATTATCAGCAATTTTTTCAGTCACAATTAAATATAAAACTCACGTTTTATCTCATAAAAATTAAACACAAGACGTTAAGTCATGTTGACTTTTCCACAAGAAGCTAGAATAACTGGAACTTTGTCTTTCATATTTTCTTTGAATTCAACAGCTACTAAATTGAAATGATCCATTTTAGTCATTAGCTGGTAATTGATACAAAAGTGGCAAACACTGAGGTAACTAAGTATACCCACATAGTATTTCCCCTTTGTCTGAAAATGTTCCAAATATTTGACTATATTTGCTTACATAGTATCTACCCAGAGAATGGAATAATGTAGAACATTTCTACATTTTAATTAACACACAAATAACATATGGTACTGCCTACTTAAAATTCCTTTTTTAACTTGGAGACTCAACAAACTCACACCTAATAAAAGACTGCTCAATCTCAATCCAAAAATTGAATATGCCATGTAGTATTTATTAACCTGAAGTAGCTTTAAATAGAAACTAGCCCAGCTTCCTAAGGAAAAGTAATATAGAGCCAAAATAAGGAATGCCTCACAAAATAAACTTCATTCACTTCAGAAATATTTTACTTCAATATTTATTCCTGAAATAATTATTTCAGGTGTTTTCACAGCATTAGTTTGGATTCATTTTGGAAAAAAAACCAAATGTTATTTAAAAAAAAACCACACACTATCAAATATATTACACAAAACTAAATATACCATGTACTGCATTATATTATATCCATACTAATAATTTAACATTGACTTGCTTAAGAGTCAGGGTTCACCAGAGGATTTTTTTTAATACAATTAGTTTTACTGTAATTTTCCAGGTGGGCATATATATATACAGATATAACTGAATGGGAACAGGTCATCAATAAATATATCCATTTAATTTTAACAATAGGAGTCTCACAGCTCAATTTCCGTATCTTGTGCTACTCCAACCTACTAAACATGTCTCTTTCTGATATGGAAGGTCCCTCTGGACCCACAGATCTGCCCACTGCTTTCACAGCTGCCTCACCTTGAGCATTTTGACATCACAATAATATTTAAATGTCCCTAAACTGAAACACTGGCATCAAAATCCCACTTGTATCCTAAGAGCCATCCAGAAAGCCCCCTCCTGCAGCTGCACAGCCTCCTGTTTCACTGAACAGGTAACCAGCAACATATCTTTACTGCACTTACAAAAAATAAAATGGGAAACAGGGTGGGAAAGGCCAGAGGAAGACATTACTTTGGACTCTTACCGAAATAAAGTGCGTTTTTCTAAGCGCAGGTCCCGAGACTCCAGGATACTGCTGTCCTGGTGCAATACCAGGGGCTACAGAGCACGCCAGGGATAAAAGAAGAGAGAGCAAATTAATTTTAAGCTATGTAAAAAAGAGCAGCTGTGTTGTTAATTTTTTTTAAGGTAACTCAGAATATTATTAATATAGGCTGCACTCAGTCTAGTGACTGCTCCTTTACAATATGGAACATGATTAAAGCGTGTTTTCTTTTTGGCTAGGCGTTAAACAATGACCAAAATTCAATTTCCACTGGAGTCAGCAGGCATTCAGGAACTTGGTTTTTAAAACAAACCTAAATTCTTCAACTTACATAAATAACACAGAATAATGCATTAGGAAATACAGCCAGCTAACAGTCTTTGAAAGCTTTAGAAGAAAAAGCCCGTAACTACGGACATTCATTGATTTTTGCCTGCATTGTAATCATCTAGACAGATCAAAAGCATGAATTTAAGAGAATAAATACTTCATGTCCATGGCTTCTCTTTGAATTGGAGAATATTTCTGTTGGACTAAGAGCCATCACACACACGCTGCACCATCCACACAGATTGTTGTCTTGGAAGTTTTCCTCAATATTAAAACGTGTTCCTCATTTCTAGCATTAATGCACCTCATTTGTCTTTGACAAACTGAATGTCACTATGTTTTAGGGCTTTAATGCAGCAGCATCTACTACCAGACATTTGTCTTCTTTGTGGACAATTCGATTCTCCTTCAATTAACCAGCACTGCCAATGTAAAGCTATGGGCAGAACTGGGAAATATGCACCAGTATGGAGAGAACAGAATTCCTTATTTGTAAAATGGGGAGGAAAATGCTTCCAAAAAGGCCCAGGAATATGCAGTACCTTATCACCTCCAACTAGGAAGAGGTCCACTGCAGCTATGTTGATGCCATGTTTCTCACAGACCCCAGAGAGCACCTCCTTGATGGAGAACCCCGATTTCACAGCCATTTTGCTCGATGAGCCATCCGGAAGGTTTACACAGCAGTACTTGGGGGATTTGTCTTTATCTGGCACAAATGCAGGCAACCTTGAGGTCTCAGACTTGAAAGGAAAAAGAAAGGTCAGTGCCCAATGGGAAAATTAGGACTGGGTATAAACTTTTAGAGCCCGCACAGATTGAATCAAGCCAAGAACCATAGTTTCTACCATGCTTTAGAAATCCTTCCAAATATCACAAATATCACATAAATTTAAATCCTGGGGGAAAAAAAATTAGATAAAGATCATAATACTGCACAAATCTAAATTTATTTCAAGAGCAGATGAAGTTTTACACAGCAAGTGTGTAAAACAGTTACAAGACTTACTGAAGAACTCCTAAGTAAAAACTATAAAAGTAAATTAAATGTCATTAAGCATCCAAATAGTTAAATGTCTGTGCTCAGTAATGTCCTGCTTATGTAAAAATTACCACTGGAACCCTATGAATCAACATTCAAGTGAAGAGGAATGCCTTTAAATATCAGGTTCCTCAATCTTTCCTCTCCAAATTTCCTCTTCTTTCAACATAATACGAATTCTATGCACAAATACACCACAGAGAAATTAAAACTTTAAAATTATTTTCTTCATGACCATTAATTGTTTTTATTAAAGGGAATTAGAACTACAATGCTATGGGCTAGGCACTAACCTTTATTCTAGAGTGACAGTAGAATAGTAATACTACAACTAAATATCAAAAGTATCTTTGAAAATTTAAACAAAAGCTCACTTATAACTTAAAAGGACACTAAAAAATACTGGTTTTGACAGCCTTTTAGGGTACTCATCATGCTTTTTCTCTTTTCTTTAATTTGGTGCTTCTCATTCAAATCACAGTAACTTCTGAATTAAATCAGGTGGGAGTGGGAAAGAAGTGAGGGGTTGTTGCTTTAGGGTGGCTTTGCATTTTCTATTTTTTAAGACAAGACTTTTCTGCAACAGAAACAAACATGACTTCACCATGCTTGTTTCCCTGATCAATATTTTTAGCATAGATAAAATTACTGTTATTAGTTAATGGCTAATTACACAGAATCTAGTCTACCAGAGGGGCATCAAAAGCAAAAAAAAACTTTACAATTTCCCTTTTTTAGATTCTTCCTCCATATCAACATCAATAAATAAAGCATTACGTCTATGTTTTATTAATACTGTTTTAATTTTGCACCTCATTAGTTTTACACTGTGAAGGCAGAACTTGATGGTTAGAAATCACAGTGCCTTCATTCTTAATTTCTTAGCATGGCAAAGTGTTCACAACAAACTTCTCAGGTTTTTAGGACCAAGTTAAGTCATAATGACAAAAACACACAACTTTAAAGGAAACAGACAGAGAAGAAGCACGACAGACACTGGCACAACCTAATGCGACTTGCATCCCCCTTATTGCATAGGCCAAGAAGAGGAAAAGCTTTAACTTGTGGTTGTTTAAAACAGATTCTCATCCTTGCAGGTAGAACCAAGTGGTTTTAAAGAGCTACAGTCTTAACAAGGGAAACTTTCTGTAGTTCACTGGTGCCTGATGTGAAGACAGACCAGATCCGAAGCATATCCAAGGACAGCATAAGTAGTAATATACAAATGCAACATCTCTTGCATTTCTAACACTCTGAAATTGCCTAATATTACATCTTGTGCTGCAGCTGTATCACTTGAAAACCCTTTCCCAAGGCATTACATCAAACAAGCTACCTCACACTACTTAGAAAATCAGTAATTCCCTGTTTCATCTGCTCCCCCACTGGCTCATTAGTAAGAGGCAGCCATTACCAAGTCGAGACTAGCAGTGGATGACATGGAGCCTTGTGATTCCCGTCTGTAGGACAATCCATTGGACTGAAAAGAATCTGTTTGTGCAAAGAATCAGCAATCAGTAAAGAGGCTTATTTCATTATTTATTCTATCACAGACAACTATTTCAAATATTAGGTTATTGGGCCACAAATGTTTCTTTTTTAATTAAAAGAAAAGAAACCACCAAATCTTCATACTGCTCACAGAAGCATGGAAACCAAAGCAACTTTTGGTCAAATGCTTCTTGGTTATGTAACCCATTTGTGTTATATTTTAAAAAAAGGGGAAAATATTTTTATAAAAAATATTAGTTAACTAGATTTAATAAGATTTCAATATTTCATCTTAAAAAATTATTCTACCTCTGCAGGGAGATAAATATTTTTTAAAGTGCAAGTATGGTGTTAGAAGACTAAAATCTAATGCAACTACTAGTCACTTTCAGAAGGTAATGTCCATGATGTCAGCAAATGCCTCTGATGTGTTTTCACATATGAATATACTAAGAACACCCAAATTATCCATACGATCAAAGCTATCTTATGGGTCTGGCATTACCAGAAGCAAAAACTACATCATCAAATATGGACCAAATTTGGCACTTTGCTTGAATTTCTTCATTATTTTTAGCTCAACAGAATAATTTACTGCAAAACTTTTGTCTCCTCTAGAGATCACATACAGGTGCTTTCATAAGGGAACTCTTCCTTAAACTCTCAAACACAATTAAGTAACAAAACAGCAGGTTACAAGGGCTTTCACACCTCCGAGTCTCCTTTTTCATTTTAGTCAGGGAAGGTGAAAACAGATGGTGACTGTTCAAAAGTGAACATACCTGTGTGTTACTGATAAAAGAAAGAAAAGTAGGATAACACAGATGGAGGAATTTTTAAATAGCTATAACTATAGCACTATTTGCTGTACTGCTCCTGGACTTTTCTGTAAAGATTTGAAATTATCTTTCTATAAAAATAGCAGCTCTCTGCTTGAAAAACCAATTACCAGTGCACAGAAAGGCAAATGTTCCAAGACATAAAAAAAAAAAAAAAGTCTTGTGGAAGTCAGTAAAAACAAATTTAAATATTGTCATATTTTCATCTATTTACTTGTACATCTTGCACAAAACTGCAGCAACAATATGGCCTTCTGACTTGACAGCTCCTTTCCTCTGTCACTCGCAAGAATGCACTGAGATAGCAACTAATCATGGTGAGATTAGTCATATCTATTGCTGAAACAACCTTGAAACAAAGCAGAATGTGATACTCACCGTTTGGATAATCACCATTTTCTCTTCTTTTCTGTGATTTTCCCAAACTCTTACTTCTTGACCATGAGAAGAATGTTCCCCTCTTTTTCTTCTCAGTGTCCTCCTCTCCTGACTCTTCATTTAAAGATCTTCCTGACTTTGACTTACCACTTAGCTATCACCAAAACACAATTAAATCACTGGTTGGATCACAGGTGTGAGTATATTGTCTAAAATAAACCTTCCCACACTTCTTCCTAAAACAAGAGTGTGATGGCCAGGTTAGCTGCCTTCTTTACCCCACGCACAAGTGCCTGTGCCAGCATCCCTCTCAGCAGCAATCAAAATAAACCTCATCAGTGGCAACAAAAAGAAATACAGAGATGGAAATATGCTGCTTGGTAGCGAGTACAAAACAGTAGTTGGAAGTGAGCCTTGGAGAGCTCCAGCAAATATGAAAGAACTGTCCCCAGCTCACCAGTAAAGCCTAAGCTAATGTGGAAAGGCCATTTGCCTTCCTTTTAAAACACTGATTTTCACTTTGGTATTTTCCTAGGCTAGGCTTGAACATGAACAGCTTTCAAAGACAATGACAAAGTACTGTTTAACATTTACAAGTATAATCAAGTATTTATTAGAGTTGAAGAATACAAATGTCAGGAATGTTTGATATTAAACTAAACTTGCTTTTTACAAGCTAGTATTCTTGTTAGATTATTAGAATATTCCTTGAAATGCTACTTTTTAAAGGTTCCTAGTCACAAGAATACATAATGGCAGATGGGGTAATCTGTAGTGATTGACATGAAAAATGAGAAGTTATAATTTACCCATACAGTTATGTAATGCTATGGTGGTATTATCTACAAGAAGAAAAAATAAACCCTAAATAATGTCAAGGGATCAGTCAGTAAGACTACTGGTCTAGTTTTTAAGCAACTGTACTTATTTAACACAGAATTATCTTAGTTTAGTAGGGTGTAAGAAATTAAAAACTATCCTCTGCCAAAATGAGTTAGTTTGGGTTAAGCCTTCTCCAAAACTTCTGATAAAATGTCTCCTCTCAGCAAAGGTTAAATTATCACATCCTAATTCCCATATTCAAACAAAATAAGCTTCTGAACACATGCATTAACAAAATAGCCCTTACTTTTTATTTGTACACATACAGTTAAATAATAATGAAGATTCAAAATTATGTTCAGCAATTCAGTATCTAGAAAACTGATTCAAAGGCAAGGATAAAAAAATAAGTATATTCCTGAGTACATAAAATTTTGCAATTGTATTTGCCAGCATCTCTAACCACGCATTTTAATTTTACTTTATATGTTATCTTTGATTTTCTAAAGAACTTGAAAAACATTACTTAAAAGCACAGTTTTGTGATAACAACAATGCAAAAGTCACCTTTTTTGGTGTTGACATGTTGGACTTCTCTGAACTGACGCTGTGTTTAGAGGTGGGGCTGCTGGGAACACGCTGAGGATCAGGAAGAGGACGTCCTTCCACTTCAGCTAAGATGCATTCTTGGTAAAGAGGGGACTTGAGGAAGCGAGTATAGCTATCGAACTTCATCAAGTTAAATATCTGAAATTAAACCACAATGCATAATGGGTACATACATTCCAGTAACACATCAAGAAAATGAAGCTACTTTGCAACAGGAAAGTCCCATAAAATTTAGGACATCAGGCTGTAAACAGCATAGGTATGACATTGGTTAGACCTGGCTAAACACACTGCACCCATTTTAAAGTGAAATATAATTTTATCTATTCTCTTATTACAGGTTCAGAAAATAAGTTATGATTTGTGCAAACTGCAAGCTGAGATGCTGTAGAGTCTTGACAACACCATCCTCTTTTACTGCGTTGATGCCATTCTGTGTGGAGCATGCAGCAAGCTGGCCATTTAAAACATTTTAAAGGTTATTACACTGGCACTGTATGTGACAGGATTAAGTTACACAAGTGTGTTTTAAGGTAGCTGTGAACAAGAAAAGTTTATGTTCTAAAACACATAAGTATGATATAATCACAATTTGCAATAATACACAATGATACAAGACACGCAAAGTAAATTGCTGATGTGAGGAGAAGCTGAGAGTCCTTTGCAGCATATATAATGCTCACAGAGTCACAGAATCATTTAAGATGAAAAAGACCTCTAAGATCACCACATGATTAACCCAGAACTGACAAGTATTAACAGTAAACCACAGTCATGTGCCCAATGATAAAGAAAAAACCCATCAGTATCTCTGGATAATTCAATAATCAAGGTGCTGTAGATCTCAACAGAAAACAGTTTACATTCAGTGATCTTTAACCACATAGGAAGAAAGCAGATCTATATCAGGCAAATATCTGAGGGTGATTTAACCAAAGCTAAATTTATGAAAGTGAAAAAGAGCTTTTTCTTAAATGCTAAATAATGTTTAACTTTTTGTTCCATTTTTGCAAACCTGCTGTTTTAAGTGAATTCATACTTTTAGTTCTATATCTTCTCCCGTGGTTCAGTTCATCTGAAAAATCAGTATGAATGGCTACTTCTTTGGACATGACAAATTCCCCACAAGCAAAGGAAGGTAGGCACCACCCAGCAGGTTCTGGCATTCCCAGGAGTATAAAGGAAAGTCCATCACCGAGTGGCCCATTTGCAGATGGAAACCACACTTCAGACTGTGTAGACACACCCTTCTCAACAGGCTTTAGCCCAAAACTTATCTTGTAAACAGCAAGCTAGAGCAGAGAGTACTTGAATCTACAGAGTCACAGAAACCTAACTCAAACTGAATGCCAACTTCCATGGTTTTGACTTTCCCCTTTGTATATTCCCATTCCTGCTTAGGTGCTGCCTTTTAATGCACCGTTTTCCACATGCTAAGCTATGGAAAAATATTTCTGGATATGCTAGCTTTGACCGTCTGCAAATTAAACATACTTAACACAGAGAAAAAAAATTACAACCTTTTAACTTTGCTGGACAGAGTCATGAGAGAGTAACTAATTCACCTTGAGCTGATTATCATCTGCCCCATGTTTCAAGCCCACACTACATCCATGATTTCCTATATTTAGAATTATTATCATATTTACACATCTTAATGATTTCTGCTTATTGAGAAAAGGCTAGCAGATGCTAGCTCTTGTTCTTAAAAATGAGAAACATATATTTTAAAAGCGTAATTTGAAATTTTCAGATAAACAAGAGTAGAAAAACTTCCATTATCAACTCTACACGAAGTACATGCTAAGTTATTCTTATTTTAGTATGTTCCAGTGACCTACATTGTCCTCCCTCCAGAAACACTGAAAATGCTTATTCAATTTACAAAAGGGAACAACATCCTAACTAGGTACTTTGGCTGCATCCACACTGCCATTACAACCTCTAACAACAAGATCACTGACAAATTTGTCAGGATATGGATGGAAAGCAACTTTCAGGGGTATTCCCAACAGGCAGTACTTGAAAAGAGAATGGCCTGAGTGTTTCCAAAGCACTTTCCCACACACTTCTGCCACTCCTCTGCAGCCTTACAGCAACATTCCCCATTCCCCAGCGTCACACCCATCCAACCACCACCACAAGGCAGCACCCTTGCACCCTGTGGTCAGTGCTCAAATCTAAAAAATCTTGTGAAAGACCACAAATGCAGAGCTTTCACTTTATTAAGGTTGTGTCACCACCATGAGCTGAACTTTGAGAGTCTGTGGGTGTGTTGCAGTAACTACACAACCCACAGCTGTGTGTTCTCAAGTGGTGCCATCCACCAAGACCACAAACTGGCCTGCAGATCCACTCCCTGAAACCAAGAAATTAAGGGCCACCAAGCAGCTGATTCCCCAGCACTGACCTCAGCCAGGCAACACACCACCAGCACCTTAGACAAGCTCCAAGGCCATGTCCTGCAGCAGAAGTAACTCTCATCCTGCCTCACTTCATTTTTCAGTGAAGGGAGTGGGTCTGACTGAGGGATCTGACTGGGGCACAGACAATATGAGATAAGGGTCAGCTACAGAGAGACGTTGTGGCTGGGACTGGACCCACAGCAGGACTTCTCATGAGAGTTTTCTCCCTCATTATGAGCCCTCCATCTAAAAATACAGCATTTTCAAAGGGACAAAACCTGCATCAACCCTGTCACCTGACTCACCAAGACACCCTGTACTCCACCAAACAAATGGGAGAGGATAAGGAGGAATTCAGGCACAGTCTCCACAACACCAGGATGACAAATGCATGAAAAAATGTCTGGGAAGGTGGTGACTGGTAATTCCCACAGAAGGTTCAGGCTTGGGAGGTGCAGAAGGAGTAGCTACAAAGCTGGAAGCCACCAGACCAGCAGACAGACCTACCTTTCTGTCTCCACTTTGCAGGAGGATGACACTGTACCCTGCTGCTCAGATTGCCCAAAAGCACGTGGTCTGAGATTGTGTCCCAAGACTGTGGCCTGGTTCATTAAAGCTATGGCCTTGATTTCAAAATGATGATATCAAAACTACTACTAATAAACTGGTAGGATGGAAGAGTTACCAAAGAGATGACTTACGAAAAAAAAAACCTAGAAACTTAAATTCTATAGGAAATGTAAAGTGTATCCTGTTGTTGCACAACTGTTCTGATTATTAATAATTATTTAAAATACATCCACTTCAGAGGTCTTCAGACTCCAACAGTTCTATAATCTCTTTGCCTGACAGTAGTACCAAAGCCTAAGAGAAGAACTCCCTTAATACAACATTTTAAAAACCAAAACTAGACACTATTTCTGTACTCAACTCTCCACTAAAGAAAAGCAGCCATATGCAAACGCTCTATCAATGGTGCAGCAACACATGGAATTATTTACTTGCACTAAACCCCCATTTCAATAATAGTACTTTTCAGATTATTTTTTAGTTAAGTGAAAATTTTCTCTCCACGTAACAGAAAAACAGCCAAGCAGCCTTTTTTCTATTCTTCTAACAGAGTCTAAATATACAGTATGTAAAACTATTTTTATAGACTATAAAGGAAAATATAACAGACAAAAACATAGAGCATTCATGGTTACTATGGTTACCTGAAGCTGCTGTTCCTTGAACATATCTGGATGGGGAGAATTGAGAATATCATCTGCCAGCTGTGCCTGGCTGTCAATATTAACTGGGGTTGTAGCTTTGCTACACAAGAACTTACTGAAGATCTCCCGAGCCCTGTAAGAAAGCTACAGAAAACAAATGCTAAATGTATGTTGGTTTTAAAACTGTATTTTTAGCTAGGCATTTTTACACTGATATATTCCACCCAAAAATAGATAGCCACTCCTGAATCTTTTATATATGTATTTTTCATATAATAGCTTTTGCAAGTTTTAAGCACATAAATAGGGTTTTTTCTTTATGATTACAAGTATTCATCAAATATTTCTTGAACAGTAAAAGTTGTCCTCCAAATAAAAATTAAAATAATCAAGCAGTGAAGCACAGCAAGTATTTTTTAAAAGGAGAGCAGATTTTTTTTAGATTTTTAGACCTTTTACATAACAGTTACTATTTAAATACATCCTCTAAGATTAAATTTCTAGAAGTGAGAAAAAGGTAAATATATATATGAATATTTACAGTCAAAACCACTCATTTTTAACTTATTTATTTGAAACACCCACATCATGAAAATAATGAAAAAACCACCAAGCTGCGCCCACAGCCCTTAAGGGTGGTGTTCAGAAAATACTTTGTTTGAAGACAGAAGAAAGAAGAAGAAAAAAACCTCATTAGTAGACAAAAGAGTTAAGAGAGACTTGGAAGGTGAAACTGTTTTCACCACATAAATCTGACTAGATCTGGCTGTGGTGTAGACAGAAGTGTTGCCAACCTGTACAAAGTTCAAACTTCACCCAAACTGCCTGACCAATGTAGGATTCCCTCAAAAGGATGAGATGGAGATTCTCATAATTTGTGAACAAACATGAGAGCCCTGCCCTTTCAGCTGCAGATAATTAAGTTATTTAGAAACCCAGTCTTGCTTGGTGGAGGCAGTGTAGCTCAAAGAGTCTAAGAGTCTCTCCTTGACATGGTCAATTTACTTGCTCTGCACTTCCATGCACTGGGTGACCACTGATGGCCATTTGCAACACCCAGGATACCTCACCTCATTCTTACAGAGCTACCTCTGCACTTTGCTGCAGTTTGAAATATCCAGCATCTTAAACTTAGGTCATCCCACCCTATTTTAGTGATGTCACAGTACACAGACCAAGCACAGCTCCATTAATTTCAATAATGTTGAAGGAGTAATAATTTTTGAAGAAGCAACACAAGGTACATTGACTTCACTCTTTTTTATCATGTGCAGGTACATGGTTAAAATATTCACAGGCCTGCCAAAATAAAATATTTTCTTCACTAAATTCTTTCCGCAGAAATTCCTAGAGGAAAAAATAAGCAAATAAATAAATAAATGTCTCAAAGAAAAGTTTTTGCCAGCTTAAACAACATATATATAATGCTTGGAAAGTTTGCATAAATGTAAGTTTTCAATCCGTCTCACAATCCAGGTCTTTTCCAAAGTAAAAATCAATATATGTCCAATACATACCTGGTATTCCCCCTCTTTCTCCTCGCTTTTTAAATGTATATTTAAGAAGAATACATGAACTTACAATCAAATCATTTGCAAGTACAAAATTTGAAATGTCATGCTAAGCAGTGCATAAACTGGTGAATACACTTTAAATAAAAATTTAAATAGTATATAAACTAGATTCAAAAGTGACACTCTAAACTGTCTTTAATTGCAGTTCTACTGATATAAGAGAGTAGATGTTTATCAAGATGTGCCCATAATCAATCCTGGATTCATTACAGTGTCTTTTTGTATCACATGGGAATTTTTTTTAAAAAAATCTATCACTGTTCACTGTGTTTGATGTGGTTACATGGTTTCTCTTTGGAAAATACTCACTGAGAGGAAAATAAAATATCTCCCAGTACAACACACCATAATTGATATTACAGCATCCTAAAGTCCAAATGAACACTGGTACTAATTCAGCTGGAAAACTCTACAATGACAAACTGTCCTGTTTTCAAATCTATATAATTCAATATTCTCTCCACATCTTAAGAGCATTTTAAACATCAGGGGAAAGTAAAGATATGAAAAAAAATTAACTCGATCCACCACAACATTCACTCAATCATCACATGGGTACCAGTGAAGCATCCTTATCATACAAAGCAACCACAGAAAGTTGTATAAGAAGAATCTCCACAGAAATATACTTAAGTATATTTGTGCTTTTCAGATTTACATAAGAGTTTAGGGAGTCCAGCTGTAGCAAAGCAATTGAGATAAACTACAGTACAGGGAATCTAAATGCCCAAGCAAGCTCTGAATTTACAGTTCTTTAGATACATAAGCTGAGACACCAAACACATAAAAGACAATCCTGAGAGTAGTCAGGGGAACATTTCTGCACTTTACATGTAATTACATATTTAAAGAGAATCAAATGAATGAGCAAGAACCAGAACACAACTGCCTACTTCCCCCTTGGCACATTCCCCGCGAACCCAGAGTCCATGTCCCACTTGCTTCCTTGTGGCCACAGGATTTGGGCACAGCTGTCCAACAGCTTCTCCAGGAGGGCTGAGTGGTGCCCCAGCTGGGACATCAGGCAGCCAAGCAGGTGTCACCCATGGCTGGGAAGCTGCAGAGGTTGGGCTGAACCCGTTGTGGGGGGAGCCTGCAAACAGCTCTCACCTCCTGGCTGACTGCTCTGAGCAGCAGCAATTATGCAAAGTGCGAGTATTTGCAAAACATGCAAAATCTCTCCTTCTTAGAGAGCAATTCCTGCTCTGTGACAAAGCTGTCCTCAGGAAAGGCAGATGCTGGATCCCACATGCACCAAGACACTTGCTATGGAGCCATAAATTAAATGCTGGTGCCTCAATGTTCCTGGATACTGGCAGCAATCTGTAACTGCACAGTGTTATGGCAACCAGGTTAATAGATCTAAGCAATGGCTCTGGACATCTCCTGGGCCTCAAGAAAATGGTGGTGCACACAGTAAACTTTAACATTCTCTAATTGTTTTTTAAAGTTGGTGTTTCTTTAAGACACGTGCTTTTGCAATGTTTATAGGAAGAAGTTCTAATTAGAATAAAATGCAGGGGAAAAGTAAAACTTCCAGAATATCTGAGGTTGCCTTTTGCTGAAATGAAGTGAACCTTTTAATCTGAACTTTTATTAAAATTATATGAGCTACTTTTTACATTTATTATGTAAATTTTGAAGTATCATAGCAGCTAAAAATTTAATGCAGCAATTTTCTAAGTGTACACAAGTTTGCAATAGGTTTACCAGTAATTAGAACCAAGTCAACTGAACTTTCAGTAGGGGCCCCATGAACTACATCATTTTTCAGATGAACTTTAGCATCAGATCAGAACTGTAATTTTTCTTCCAGCCTGACAAGAAGTCTCAGTATGAAAGCAGAAATGCTATTAACTCTCAGACTACTCTGCTAAACTAAGGAACACAATATCCAGAATGTATTATTTTGCTTTCCTCTTCTCTGTTTCCACAAACAGATGTTAACTTAATGTGGGTTTTGGGTTCCCCCACCAGTTAACATGGAAGTCTGCTTATTAACCATTGTGATCCCTTAATACTTTTGTATAAAGCAAAAGAGTCTGAGTTACTGCGGATCCAATAATCTACTTCTCCTATACCATGTTTCCTTATATTCTCATTGTGAAAATTACTTGGGCAGCACAAACTGTCCATGTGTAACACATTCAGAATCAGCAACACACTCTCAGTGCAACAAAGCCAAAGTATATACCCTCAGTTTCCTTGCAAAATAGAGATGATGCTATTTACAATAAATGTGCTGTGCAGAACAGTATTTATGTATTACAAAGTATTTATGCTTTGGAAATACTCAGCATTACTCCTTCCAGTTGCAGTTTTAACCAGTGCTCTTAACTACCATAACTACTTCCAAAAAGTATTTCTAAAAACCTTTTGCCGGAAAATAAGCCACTCTGTCATTGAAAACACCTTCTATGTGACTTCCAATGTTTCAGGAGATGGATGTAAATAACTACCCATTCTTAGGAAACTACCAAAAGTACTTCCTTCTTCTTGTACAAAGGCTACAGACACCAAAAAAAAAAAAAAAAAAAAAGAAACCAACCATTTTACAAAATGGGGAAGCATTCTAAAAGTTCCCAGTCAACGCCAAATATAGAAGTTTCAGGTGAAAATGGAAGCCATGCAGAGATGCATGGCAATCTGAATATTACTATGAACTTTCAATCAACTGTGACCCTGTGTAAACTCTGAAAGATGCTCAGGTAACAACAGCGCATGAATGAACTCCTGTCTCTTGCCCTGTGCAAGGAGAGTGTCAAGAAAAAAATAAAAAAGAATACAGGAAAGTTAGTGCAGCAGTATCAGGTATTTTGGAAAGCCTCTCATTGTCCCTCAAAACTCACCGAAAAATATTTAACACCAACAGAGTCCTGAAGAAGCCGCTCAAAGGAAACTGCCCAGCTTGCAACTCTCCGCTCCCGCAGCCGCCGGCAGCTCTGCACGCTGGGAAGGCTGGCATTGCTGCTGAGGCTGTTCTCACTGATGCAGTCTTTCAACTCAGTGCTATTCAGCTCTGTCAATAAAGGAAATTACATCTGTCAATAGAGTAATATTCACTTTTACTCTTCAGGATTGTTTATTTGGTTTATCACGCCTCCTGCTCAAGCTCACAGTGGTGCAGACTTCTAAATATCCCTCTCCCTTTTTAGTAGGAGCACCTGCATAGAAAAAACCACCCAAAACACCTCTCAAGTGTCTTCTGTTCCACTGCAAAGAAAATTAAATGAGTGTTATAACAGCAGTCCCCTGACAGAAGCAAAAGGGGCAGGCCCAAAACAAAATCTTTTTTCTTGTTCCACAAAATAAAATATGTTTCCCTCTTAATATTTCTCATATTATAGACTACACTCCTTCAGAAGATTATCCAAGGAAAGTTGACCTTCAAGAACCCACTGTTTACCAGAATGTGGGCAAAAACCTATTAGGTGATAGGAGACAGCAAAATTTCATACACACTTCAATTGGTAGACAGGCAATCTGTGAAATTTTGCATGGAAATACAAGATTCCCATTAATACCAAAAATTTAGGAGAGGAGTCAACTGTGGAAAAGAACATTAGGAAAATGAGATAGTAAGGGATGCCTTCCTCATCCACAGGAAGTAAGAGACATCAAACCACAGATCCTCAATTTATTATGGTTTCTGATAAAAATAGGGATCCCTTCCAGACTCCAGCCAACATACTGGAATAATCTAGAGACTCCAAGAGAAGAATTTACCAGATTCTTTAGATCTTGAAAAAGATCACAGAAAAAAATCACAGAAGATCTTGAAAAAGATCTTGAAAAAAATCACAGAAGTGATTTTCTATTCTGAGAAACAAATTAACAAGAATCCATGGAGAATTCAAGGAAACACAAAAAAACCCCTTTGTGTAGCAGGCTAAAAACTTCAAGTATTAACCCCAGATCATCTTTGTCATGACAGTAAACAAAACAGGCTCACAAAAATTGTCCAAGTGACCATTTGTTCACAGAAGTAGAAAGGGGAAAGAAATGGCTGCTCTAAGAGACAGAACTGCTTACAGCAGAGCTCTATTCACAGATTTGTCGTTTACCTCTTGAACACCCTTTTAAAGGATGGTCTCTCCACCTCCCAGTGTACACAAATATAAAACTGGTAATGCTGAACTCACAGCTGCACACTTCATAGAGGTGATGTGAGGTTTAATTCATTGTGGAAACACAACGAAGGCCTGAGCTACCTGGTCTGATCTCCCTGCTTCGAGCACGACAGGTTGCACACAGAGAGATGCCAAACTGAATGAGATTCTTTGACGAAGGGATGAAAAAAATCACAGACATTCAATTATTTGAAAAATTAGCAGTAACAGATGTTAGAAAATTAATACCCTCAAATTAAATAGAGTTTATATTCAGCAATTTTATGCCAAATGGAAAAGCAAGTATGCAGCTCACTAGAAATGCAATCTGTTGGAGAAAACTGAATTCACAACCAATCAGAAAGGGACTGTGCTTCACAGGGCTATTTTTATGATTTTCCTCAGTTAATCACTTAGACTAACTAAAGCAATGAGTAATTTCACCAAAAAGACCCTACTGTATATGCTCTCCCAAGATCTCTTATTCATGTTAGAAGTATTTGAAAGCACTCTGCATTTCCAAACTTCGTGTTACAAAACACTATTGTTCCTCCCTGGAAGTAAGAGCTTTGAAAAAATACACCATTGAAAATAGTTACAAGCATTGGAAAAAGTGATAAAGATTGTTGTAAAGATAAGAAAATAAACATTTTTAAGAGTTCCAAAACTTCATTTTTAAACATATTCTTAGCTCAGAAATATTCACTAAGATGTAACAGTTAACTATCCTGAGTTTCTGCAAGCACAGCTATTTTTTAAGACATAAATAAAATGAGTAAGACAAAGATACAAAATTACATGAGGGAAAAACAAACTGTAACTTTGTATTTTTAATGATAATATTTAAGGACACTAGTAACAAATCAGGTATACAAATAACTTTCTTCACCTAATCACCATATAAATCAAGGCTAATTACAAACACTCAGCAAATAATGCCAAATTTTCTTATACAAATATTTATTCACTTTTTCCTTTAAGACATATGAAAGAGCATAACCAACTCAATTGTTAACTTCATTAGAGAATACCTGTCCCCAGAGTGAAACTATTGTGAAAGAAGTTAACGTGAATCTGAAGAGAATGATACCTAACTTTATTATCTGTAGTATTTTGCTTTAACTCTGCAGGTGGATGTGTTCTATTTTACAGTCCAGGCACCCACTTCTTGATAGATCTGGAACAGTTTCAGATACTGCCTTGCTCCTGGAGGGTTCAATCCCAGTGTTCTCCAGAGATGAATGATGAAAATTTCCTTGTTCCTTTCAGGCAAATTCAGAAAGGCAAACTCATCCCACATACCAAACCCCTGAAACCTACTTGGCTGACAGAGAGAAATTAGGGAGCAGCCACACCAAGAGCTCAACTCTGGATCCTGGAGTCACAGTGCCTTAGGACTCAGAAGGGATTGGGAAGTGGCAGGCACAGCAATCACCAGCCAGTCATCATCACCTCCCTCCCAGTGGCAGGCATTCAATTTCCCCATGGCAGCCGGGAAACCAAACTGCAATTACAGCCTCCAGTGTTTACACCAGTGGGTAACTGCTAACTACCTTTAATTGCTACCAGCTGCCTGCTCTCTCCAGCTCCTCAGAGTTACACTCCTCTAAACTGCACCGGGTTCTCCCTCCTCTGATATGCTTCCGACTCTGGAGATCCCGTGGAAACAGATGAACCAAAATAAGACTCTATTTCCATCAACCAAAGAGCTACTAGCACAGGTCTTCCAATATGTTAACATAGCATTAAGGGATTACTCATTCCCAGTAAGCTGTCTCTGTTATGGTAGATTTCATTCAGGTAATTCAAACTTTTTTCAAAAAGAACTATTTTAATTTATACTTAACCCTGGCACAGCTTTGGTTTCCCTTAATGAAAAAATGTAGTTGGTTTGTTTTTAAAATCTGTAGAGTTTTCTGCTGTGGTACCCATCAAGCTGAAAACATACAGAAAAGGTTGTTTGCCAAAATAGGCTTGGTTATTCTAGTTCTTTTACCACCCAGATCATCAGTAGCAATTAAAAGAGTTACAGCCTAGTGTAGATACACCATTTAGAACTGGAGAAAAAGAAAATCAGATAGAATGAAAAACACTTCCCTGACTCTAACATTAGTACCCAATTTATCCAAATCACACTGAAATGAAGACTGTATAAGGCATAATTCCTGCTCCACTCCTCTTGCACAGGAATGTTTCCAATGAAAGACTCCAGCATCAGGTTTCCTGACTCTCACAGCTCATGCATTCCTAGGTACACGCAGCCCACCTTGGAAAGCAGGAATGGAGAAACTTTCCAACCCAGTCACATATTTCATCTAATGAGCCTTCTGTGATGGTCATCAGAGGAAACACAGAGCCCTGACTCCCACCCTCACATGTTCTCACCACAGGGCTGTTGGGCAAAGTGGACTCCTCCTCCTCCACCCCATGAAGTATTTTAAAAAAGAACATGAGCAGTTGGGAATCTCAAGATGCCAGAGGAGTTTAATGTGAAAAATCCCAGCTCTGCATGGACAACGTGGACTACAGCAGTGCTGGGAAGTTTCCAAATGCCTGCCTTCCTTTGTCATCACTTCTGGAAGCACTGACTTATCTGGTATTACCTGTAAAAGGAGGCTCCTTGATCAAACATTTCAAATCCCAGGGACCTAACTTTATTTTTGTTCTGCTTGATAGCAACCATACCTACTGAGGAAAAACTACTTTGAGTGAAAAGTCATTCAGTTTCATTTATTATCTTTTGGAAATACAGAACTGACACAGAATGCTATCTAAAAAAATCCTCAAAAAACGATGTTTTGCACTTTTTGTGTTTATATGTTCCATGGAGGGTCTTGGTTTTATTTATTCTACAAAAACAGCATTATGTAAGAAAATACAGGCATTTAATCAGCTAAGTCTTCAAAGCATTCAGGATAGGATGGCTTCAGAAGTTTTGGTTTAGATAATATAAAGCCATAACCTGAATACAATAAATTGAGACTATTTTGTATGCATTTTTATGTATTTTGTATACATTTTTCAGCCTACAAATACTTTTTATTGTTGTGAGAAGCTAAGCACATTCCTCTTAATCACAGGAACGCACACAAATCATATAATCACTAAATAAATTACCTGGATAAAGCTGGTAAGAACCACTGTGGTGCCACTTAATCAAATACTTCAAGCCCTTCACTGAAAGCCATCCTTCTGAATCCATACCAAGTTCAGCTGAAACGTCCCGGAACCCATTGGGTGCAGATTAGTCTCACTGTCCAGCACATTGTTTGTTCCTCTGCAATTCTGGGATGAGAGAAGCTAACAAAGTTCCCCACAGCAACTCCTGGGAGCTTCAAACACCTTTCTAAACAACTTGATTCTTGCCTCGTTGCTTCAAGCAGAGGGAAGCAATAGTATACTTAACACAAAGCATTATAAAATGCTACATAAATAATTTAAAGAAAAGACCTTTTGCCACTGCTGCTAAAGGAACTTGAATTATTTATGCTACAGTGGAACACAGCTACAGTGAGCACGCACCACCAGCAGAACTGACAAATAAGTCATATACATGCTAGAGGAAACAATCCATCTGTATTTATAGTGCAAAAAGCATAAACAGTGTTTTGTTTTATTTTGCACTTCACTGTAAATTTTTTGCCTTACCTTCCTCAATTACTTTTTAAAATACAGTTTTACATTATTTATTACTGCAAACATCAGATTCCTTTCAGAAAGGTCTTTAGGAGCACTTTTCCTTACGAAAATTATTTCCACATGATGAACACTAAAAGCAAAAATCAGCCAAAACTACAGCAAAGTAGTATCTTAGGAAAAAATGTGCACAGAGTATCTGTTAGGCTGAAGTATTTCAGCTCTGTGGAACTGATCTCTGCAGGGAACAGCAAGTGAGAACTGACTCAGACATTCTCACTAGCTCGGATACCTCACCACCTCTGTCTGGGAGATGAATGATGATGGTACTTCTGTTATAGATCCTTTGACCTTAAGGTTTTTCCTTTCTAAAGTGCCTTCCAGGTATAAATAGCAAAGTCAGACATTAGCAGGGGCCTATTGATCATCCCTGTGACAATTCAGATGGCACAGTGCTCAAAACATCAGGCACAGCCTGCGTGCTGTGTACACACTCCCACGGCTCCCACAGTCAGCAGCAAAGGACAGCTTCTGAGGTGGGAAGCAGAGAAACCTGCTAATTACAGGTCACTGTAGTAACATAAAATGGTTCCTGCTACTCCTAGAGCAGAGGTGCTGCAGGTTAGTTGATCTACAGCAGTAATCTTGCATCTAAGCATTATTAGAGTTTGCATTCTGATTGTCTGCAATTCATTACACAAATCAATTAGAGTTGAGCTGCCACTGGTCAGCACATCTGGAAACAACACTAATTTACATGTCAGCTATCTTACAATATCCAAGTGCAGTTTTGGCTGATAAGAACATCCCAGCCTTGCACAAACTGGGATGTAAGATATAAAATAAACACAAAGGGGTAGATGGTTTCCAGGGCCAGGCTCTAACATAATGAAAGCCATATCACATAAATCTTCATTGACTTTGGAAAGAAAATGTACAAAGAACTGCTGTGCCTCCCACCATACTGAAGAGATGTACATAAAGCAACATAATTGCTTTTTACACATTAATTTTCTTCCCAAACTAAAGCTTAACAACAGTATTTATAGTAGCTATATGTAGAAATAATATTAATTAATAATACCAAGCAGAAGAGAAGGTCCTGGAGAGACTTTAGAGCACCTTCCAGTACCTAAAAGAGGTACAAGAGAGTTGGAGAGGGACTTCTGACAAGAGCAGACAAAGGGTAATGGCTTTAAACTGAAGGAGGGTAGATTTAGATTAGATATTAGAAATTTTTCACTCTGACAGCAATGATAACACTGGAACAGGTTGCCCAGAGAAACTGTAGATGCCCCATCCTTGGAAGTGTCAAGGCCAGGCTGGATGGCAGCAGGGCTGGAACAAGTTGACCTTTACAGTCCCTTCCAGCCCAAATCATTCTGTGATTCTGTGATGACAATGATTTAGTCTAGGAAGGGAAGTATGCAGTGCTGTACTAATGGTTACACTGGGGAAAATTTCTCTAAACTAAACATACCCTAAAAATGTCTGTCTGTGGATCTATTTGTGTATTAGTAAGATTAAGGAAAACTGAAAAAATTCCACTGCGCCATACTAAATGAAAGTAAATGCTAGAAAATAAAATTCATACATGAATGAGAACCATTTACTCAATGCAGCTTGAGGTGAATTAGGAATTTATTTAATTTCACTTTTTCTGGTTACAGTCTCTCTGGCTCCTATTCTTCCAACCCACTATCTGGGTACTTAAGCATTGATTCAATATTATTCAATATAGTTCAACTACCACTTTTACAAAAATTATACCCCTTCTTAAGTAGCATTTAACAATGAAGAGAGAGTTCATGTTAAATTCTGAGCTAGCTAAAAAAATAGGGAATACAACTCAAAAAATAGCACATAACTTCTTGGCTATTTTTTCACCTCTGTAACCTTACACGGCCCTTAGATTTCATGAGTTCAAAAAAGTGTATAGAATTAGTTGTGAAAACAGTTACCTAAAGATTTGGAATAAGACACAAATCATATTGGAAGAACTGAAAATAAGTGGAATTTTTAAAATAAATTTTCAGCTGGCAGGATAAAAAATCTTGACATTATTATTGTATGAGTACTATCACAGGGATTCCCAAGTCTGGATAGGCCACAAAATAACTTTCGTTAACACAGAACAAGACCCCTCATGGAGACAAGATACAAGTACATTGCATTTTACCTAAAAAAATATCAATCAAATTTTTGGTCCTCAACAGCTACATACACAGTCAGAAAGTCTGTGGTCTGCTTTGATTTTTATATCAAGAAGGTAACATGTGGGGGGAAAAAAAAATACGTATTTTTCCCACAAAAACACAGGCCACATTTTAAAAATAGAAAGCAGAATAAACAGTATTATTTTCTGGTTTGTTGTTTTTCACTTTGTGGACAAGACAGATACAACACAGACTCTGCTTCTTGTCCAGACAGAAGTACAGTAAAGCATTAGACTGTGTCAGCAGGAGAGAAGGAGAATACCTGACAAAGTCAGCCACTGGAAAATGGCTCCAGCAAAAGGACCAAAACAGTAATGTTTTTCTGAAGTGCACTTTTAGTCTTGCAAGGAATCAGAAATTAGGATATGAACAAGTTTTGTAAATAGTACTGCTAATTTTCATTTACATTTGCATGTATTATAAAAGAAATTATCATTAGCATTCCAAATATTTTTTTCCAATTTCACTGCACTGATTATGGCAACACATCTTGTTCCCTTTTGTCCTTTTTATTTAATAAATGTATCTTGTAATGTTATCAAAGAACAGCAAATGCAAAAATACGGGTTTTTCTGCAGGATCAAGTGAACCAGCTCCTGCCAGAGAAGACAAGGAGAAAAGCCATCTCCTTTATACCCTACATTGTACAAATTCCCTTATTCCATTAAGGAAGCCTTTTTAAACGGTTTCAATTAACTTCAAAGCTTCAGAGAAATCATCTTCTAATGTTTAACAAAGAGTGGACATCCTTTAAAACATTAAAGGCATGTTAAAATCAAAACAAACCAGCTTATGTGCAATAAACAGGAGTTTACTTAGAAGTACTCCAGAAATGCAAGAGCTCCATGCTGGGATTTTACAAATATCAAATTACTTACCCCCTTCTCAAAAAGGATGACATTTAAGAAAGTTCAACCTCAACAAATGTACCAACACAGCTTACAACTCAGAAACTAGAGCATCTCTTTAAAAGCAAACAAGGTATGTAAAGGACAATAAAACAGAGAATGAGATTTTATCTACCATCCAATTACACAGAAGTCTACCAGCTCTGCCTCTATTATTATGAATGAAGAACCTAGTTATAATAAAAATGTTCATATATAAATGTACCCAAAAAATATTATGCAAATAAACCAGTGAAAGTATGTGAACACAAGCCTGCAATATTTTCACTGGCACAGTTCCCAAAGCAGCCACAGAGTTATGCACCACCTTGGACTTACATCTTGTAATATATCACATAATTTACCACATATTTTGTTGCTTAATGTGGAAAACTGATTATTTTTCATTATAAAAGTAAAAACAAGCATCAGCTTACCTCCATCAGAAACAGTTGCTGACTGCAATAAAAAAGAGAAAAAGAAAAGTGTTACTGAAGTTTCATGGCAAGTATCAGAAATCTTTGAGATTCATTTAGCATTTTCAGTACTAGCTACTTTTATCATCTTATTAATAAGTGATAATATTAGGGAGGAAAATCTAAAGAAGTCAGCTGTTATTTCTCACAGTTGTTTTCTCCCCAGCATGAAATTCCCCCCTTTCAACCACTACTGTCCAGGGATTTCAGCCCACCAATATTTTTTGGAAGGTGAATTTCCTGCTGTGGTAACTACACTGCTCCCAAAAGTCCTTCTTAGAGGGGCAGAGACAATCAGCTGGTACTTGTGACAAGGTAGACACCTAAAACTGACCTGCAAAGACTGGAAAACAATATGAACTAAAACAATACCTCATGCACTTTAATTTGCTGTAGTGTTTGGAGATATGTGGCGTTAAAATGAAAATTCAGTGTTTTGTCAGTCAGGTGACCCTAAAAGCTTTTCCTGTCAGTCACTTCTGACTGTCACAGAAACAAAACGATGTTCAGAGTGCTTGCAATAAACCAGAATTTAACTTCCAATAAGTAAGAATTCCTCACCACCTCTTCCTATTGTACATCAGATTTTCAAAGACAATTAGTATGCTAGTGAAATGTTGAAGCTTATGCGCTTATCTACCCTAGACTTCTCAACTTTCATCATAAATGACCTCAAGGCATCTAATACCTCATTAAATCCAAATAGGTACTCCAATGCTTGAACCTTGACACTCAGCTGAGTGAAGTGTGGAGGACAAATGATTTTTAGATTTAAGTTTGCATTGATTTTTTAATGACTAATAGAAAGTACTTTTATTTTAGGTTGGCCAATCTTTTCTTGGTCATTGAAAGTGTCCTTGAACATTTTGGAAACCTTCTAAATAGTTAAAAAATACTCTCTTCATTTGTAATGCTCATTAGAAAGCTTAGAAATATTGTCCCACAGTATCTAAAATTTTTCAATGTCAGAAACACACAGAAAAAGAAAAGCACAAATATAAACACAATTCAAGCTAACAGCTACCTCTCCATAGTTTGTGTTTTTCAGCCTTGGCAACAAACAATCCCACTCTTCTTCAAAATCCACCAAAAAACCCTTTAGTGATATATTCTCCTTTCTTCCTCTCTTTCACTGCAGGCTCTCACCCTGATGTTAACACTCTCTGAAGAAATTGTTATAAATGGCCTCACCATTCCCATCAGCAGGAGAGGATCTGAGCTAGTCTCTGGCACAAGTATTCTGGGACTTTCAAAGTCATTCCCCTGGTGCTAGTTCAGATAAACACAAATACACCTCTCATTAAAAAGATTTTAAAAATGAAAAAATGGTGGCACTTCTTGCTTAACTACATAAATGCTTCTGCATCTGTGAAGCATAATAATATAACAAAAAGGATCACCAAGCATCTCCCTTTAAGAGCTTTGTTTCAGGTATCAAAAACATGGTTATGGTTACAATCCTTCAGTGGGGCTTAGGAAATCTTTTCTACTTCTATTTTGTACACAAGCCTAGTGATCATGTTATAAATTCAGAAGCCATAACTTAATTAATGTTGGTAATTCAGAAAATTTAATTTGCATTACTGAAGTCTGGTTTATAAATGTGATTGCTTCTAATTTCTTAGCACATCACTGTACAGTACAGTTAATGAATAAACAACTTCAATGTCATTTCTAAAAGAGCAAAGAAAATGATGACTCAAAGTAAAGTAATAGCTTACACATTAGACAGAAAACAAAACCAAATTCCTTTCAAAATATATATATTTTAGGAATGGTCATTTACTTTGTTAGCTTTCATTAACCTAGATTGAAACACCAAGTACAATTCTTCATGGTTTTGAAAGGTATGAAGCAAAATTATTAGGATTTTCATGATAGCAGAAAGAATATTCATACTACTTCTTTCAAAAACTGGGAAGTTATCAATTATAAAAGATATTTTCAAGAGAAAATGGTGCAATTTTATAGAAAAGCTCAATCATGAATGGACACTGAGAGTTTTATCTCAATTCATTTAGCATAAGTTAATGCAGTGAACTTTCTGCACACCACAGGTTGGTTTTGCTTGTTTATTTTAAATGCTTTGTCTACTGCAGGTTACATTAGGTGTATCAGCATTTTAAAATCTCTCCAAGCAGGACCTTAGTAGTTTTTATGTTAGAACATTTTAGAAAAGCACCTATAGGAGGAATATATTTTACTACAGAGTCACTAAATATACCTATTGTGTTCCAAGCATTATCCTTTTATTTCTATAAATCACAGAATAAAATATATTTTAAGAACATTTCTTTCAATTCATCTGTGTAACTAAATCCATCTAATTCAATAAAACCTAAAAACTAAAGCTTGTAATTACTGTGCAAGAATTAATATTCAAGTAATATCTTCAAACTACGTTTGTGAGTACTCAGAAATCTCAGTTTAAACCTGTCAGAAATTGCATGCAGTCCACATTCAGACAAAGAAGTTTCTCTTCTAAACTGTTCAGCTGAAACTTGTCTAGATTTGTCTTTGAAAGGTATAAGTTGCAAGACCAGATTTTTTTAAATACTATGATGATCTCATTTTAAAAATACAGTTTATGTTGGGGACTTTTTTTCATTCTTCAGCACTCATGTTTCCCACCACTGGAGGCTCTTCAGGATAAAATTTGATCTACTACACATAAAAAGTTAGATTAGTTGATGAAATTTAACACTACACATATATTAAGAACCACCTATTGAAAAATATATGTATCAGAAGCTATAAAATTGAAAAGCTCCTGTAGGGAGCCATTTCAGAAAGAGGGGGAAGGACAGGGCATGACTCTGTGCCAGTTAGGGCTAATGTGAGGATTTTTTTAAAGCATTTAAGCATTTTATTACAAATGACAGAACATATATGTTGTAAATGTACCTATGAGCTATCATCCAGAGATAAAATCTAATTGGACGAAACCATCAAATCTTTCACAACCAGACAAGAACTGAAATTTCTTCCAATTACCCCAGTTACCAAATTGGTTTAGGAAAAAGCCCCTGGTATATGCCAGGAATTTGATGGCAACACATTACCAACATTTTAAAAATAAATCTAATTTAGGAAAGCTAAAATGCCTTCCAGTAGTTGCCTTCACGGGAACTCCGCTTGCTCATCTCACTGGATTAGCAGCTGGGTTACACAGACACTCACACACCCCACAAAGCTGGGGGATGCAACTCTGTGCCAGGGACTTCAGGAGAGGGTCTGGATCTCTGTGATTTGAGAGGGAAGCTCAGTGGCAGAGCCAGCAAGCTGAAGAGTGGTTTCCCAGCTACCATACAGCACAAAAGATGCTCTAGGTCTCTCTAAACTGGCAATTGCTGCAGCATATATTTGATAGCATAAAGTTCTGAATAAGAGAAAACCTGTTACATTCCCCTTTGCATCATCTCTCTTTGCTAGGTGGAAAAACCAGAAGGGCCTGTGAGCTTTTGATGTTGTGTTCAGGATCTGCTAGCAACAAATCTAAAATAGTTTAAGCTTACAATAATTATTAGGGAGAGAACTACTTTGTGAGTACCTAATTTTTTCCCAGAGCAGAAGTAGACAACAAAGTACCTTGCACCAACAGCAAGGTACAAAGGGAGAGAGGGGGCATAGAGGAGAATAATTCACAAGGCTGAAAGTTCATAAGGTTGGAACAGGCTGTATCTTTTAGCTTTCATGGCCTATAACCTGCTAGATGTGTGCAGCTCTGCATGAAGCTTGTCTGATGACATCTTTCAGGTGATAGAAACTCTTATCCATCTTACATGTTCCAATTCACAAGGATCAGGTCCCACAGAAGTGACTAGGTATTGTCCAATTCTGCCATAACAACATCCTGCAGAAAACCAAAAAATACCCCACCTATAGCCCAGGCATTATATTGAGCAAATAAATCCATGTGTACAACTACCCAGGTAACACAATACAAAAATTTCCTTTCTCTCCACCTCAAGATTTGTCACTCAAGTCGAAGACATGCTCAAACACTGGAGTAGAACAAAGGGGAAGAGGGGGATACTGGCAGGGGTGGGTGACACATACTGGGAAATGCCAGGCCTTAGCAATAAAATGGAGCAACATGAAATCATCTGTGCCATTACAGTGGGGGTGAGTGCCTTCCTGAGCCAAGAAAGACATCTCTGTTTCCCACTCCTCCTGAGACACAGAGGGTAAAATCTGTAAGGAGAGTGAAGATTTATTTCTCTCCCCTATTCTAACAATGACAGAATCACAGACTAAACAGAAACATCTATTCTTTTCCTGGGCATCCAGAAAGATTTGGAATAAAAGGGATTAAAAATGACCTCTCTGTCTCCTTTCCAAAGCACACTTTCTTGCAATACAGGCATCGACTTCTTGCTGCATCCAAAGAATTCTCTGAGTGCTGCCAGAATCTGTTACTTACCCAGTACAACATCACTTCACACACTATTTTATAAAGTCCCTGCATATAAGCCTTTCAGGTTAGAACAGCACACCTAGCTCCACCAACCTTCTAAACTAATTTTCTCATACGATTTCAGTATAGAGGATAATGCTAGGAAATCTGCTGGGTTCTGAACATTTACAGGCTGGATACAAAGAGCCAACTTTCAAACATTCTGTCACTTATCTCAGGGAAAGCCCATCTCTCAGCTGACCGTCTGCTTGCATCTAGCTTTGTTCAAACTACTTCTTAAATCACCGGAAGCAATTTCTCCTTTTGCCAAGGTATGTATTATGAGCAAATCCCCAGGTCTTCAGTCACATTACTCCAAGATTTACATGATATATATGTATTTTCAAATATATTACAGCATCAACATAGTTCATGCCATGAACTCCAGTGGACTCTGGGAGGGGAGGGAGAGCGTGCCTCAAAATATGTTATACACAATTCTAACATTTTACATAAAAAATAAAGCTATATTACTCATCAATTATTGCTAATTTTTCCTTCTAATAAAGAACCTCAAATGTACTTCT